ACTTTGCGTGCATGTGTAGTAGTCACTGTAGATGATACTATTCGGGTTATTGCTCACATGTAGAATAGTACAGTACTGTCAAGTCGCCCGGGGGGGGGGAGATATAAAAGAAATGGGGGAGTGTTCCAAAAAGTATCAGTATATATTTGGTAGACGATTATAATAGAAATTAAGAAAACTTAGATGGCAGCAGCTCGAAGTTATTTGAAAGCATGTTATATGCGGGCACAATAGCTGGCGGGGGGGGGGGATAATTTAATTTCCAGAGGTGTGACAAAGATTAAATATTTAAGCAATTTGTGTGAAGTAATATTTGCGTCTTACTATTCACTATAATTTGTGTAGTATTGTGAAGTCCATACAAAGATCTCTACGTTGTATAATGGTACCATATCAAGTCTTCTTCTGAGCCGGGTGGGATTGGGTGCGGGGGGGGGGGGAGGGCGGTCGAGTACATCCTTGGATAGGTCATTTAACTTAGAGAATTAACCGTGCATAGTTCTTAGAAAAAGTCGTATAACTTCACATGGATTAATAATACTTTAGTTACTCAAGTTAATGGATAATTGAATGTTGATGAAACTATAAGCATTTTTTAATTAATTTTTGATTACTTGGTGGGGCAAAGTTTTAATTTATTCAAGTTACCATAAACTAATGTTTGATATGGCATTTGAAATATAAATTACTAAAGCAACGTGTTACCACGCATTGCCACATGCGTTACCATGTACTAATTGTTTTATAATATGGCTTTTCTATTACGAACAGAACACATTACCACGCGTTACCACGCGTTACCACGCGTTACCATACGCGTTACCATGTACTAATTGTCTATTTGGCTTTTCTATTACTAAAACAATGCATTTCCATGCGTTATCTCGGATAACCATACGCGTTAACGCCTAGTAATTCTATTCATTATGGTATTTTGTTGATAAAGCAACGCGTTACCACGCGTTACCGTCAAGTTTTTAATAAAATGTATATAGTAGTTTTTTAAATAAAAGATGGTAACGCGTGGTAACGCGTGCCAAACTCATGGTAACGCGTTGTTAATCATTGCTTGCATATCGATTTTGTAGTTTTGAACCGTTAGAAATGAACTTTCTTATTGTAGCAATAATAACTGTTTGATATTAGTGGTAACACGTATGGTAACGCGTGGTAACGCGTTGTTAAAATTTGAATTTGGAGCGAAAACAGGTAGCCCATGCATATACATTAATTAAACTAACCCAAATGGCTAATTTCCAGTTTGAGAACGAGGTTGTTGACATGCTGGCGTTGTTCTTGAATTTACATAGTACTTTAAAATAGAAAAATCTGGATTTGTGATGGGTTGCGTGTTATTCTTTATTCATTATCGATATATTTTGTCGAATCGAAGGCAAGCTTGCGAAGGAATGTTAGATGCCTGTAAGGTATGGATTTTAACTTAACTTGGACAAACTATCGCATAATATAATACTTGTATATCGGCATGTATACTATGTAGTCCAAATATGTTATGCAAATTTTGTTCGTATACATTAACATAAGCGCTGGCAAAGAAAATATTATGCAATAAATAGCCAAAAGCTGTGCTCGATTTTCCTCAATTTTCAGACAATCGTCCACAAAATATTTGAGACAAACCCCATCCCCCGATTTCAATGTTGTTAGGCACTACAATATAGTTTAATTCCAACATCATATGTTAAATTTCAACTGCCAGTGACACAGTTACAGTTCTAGTGTCACCTTATGTTCGTTTTGGATAAGTACCGTAGGTTTCAACATTGAAATAAGGGGGGAGGGGATTGATTTAAAAAGTCTCAATATATTTTGTGGACGATTGTGGAGTCTTCAAACGCGATTGGTAACAAGTTTTATTGTGGATATTGGGGCTTCAAACGTCCCTTTTTTAACCATATTAGTCACGGTATCCAGTTATAGGTGCCACTTTTGAGAAATTTAAAGTCGAATTTGGTATGCGTACAAAGCCGTATTTAGATCCGGTGCTTGTTATCGCTAAAGTTTGTCATAATCGTTCTGTAAAAGCATCATAAAACAAGACAAGTTTCAAAGTAGAATAATTTTCACGTTGGTGGGTGAAAAAATCATAAAATTTGGTTAAATACTTTTAAAATTATATGTATTTGAATTCGGCTAATTTTTATGCCTGATATAGGCTGAGGATTTTCTGCGCTACTGCGCGGAACCGAAAAATCGCTGAAATTTTAAAACTTAATAAAAATTCAAAATTCCAAATAGTGTTTGTTTGTTTGTTCTTGGGGTAAATAAATTTCATTGTGGCAGTAACGGGGAATTTCATTTTTTGAGTCGAGAGTCATTGGTCTGTTCTTATAGAGACAGCCTCTTAAAGCGCGGTTTTAATCCTAGCATACGGAACAACTGGGTATAGTACAAAACATGGACTGGACTGGACAGTTCGACTGGACTGATTTTTACATTTTCTCTATTCTTGACTTGCACGTCACCCGCCACCTGACATGGCACAAAAGGATATTTAACACAGCTGATACTATACCATGTCATGTCTATTTCGTGATTTTATCAATGATCATTGTCTGGTGTATACCAGGAGGAGATTGGTTGAAAGTCAAGAATATAACGTTTTGCGCCTGAATTACTTTTGATTTTCGGAAATTGAAATACTTTACCTTCCCCGATGACCTCACTTTATCACTGGAGTGATATCTCTTAAAGCGAAAGAAACCCCAGTAAGTAGAATAGAATAGAATAGAATAGAATAGAATAGAATGCAATAGAATGCAATAGAATGCAATGCAATGCAATGCAATGCAATGCAATGCAATGCCAAACATAAACTACTTATCTGTCTTTGCATTGGGTAGCCTGCTCGCATACGTATTAAATTTCGATATTTCAGTCTGCATGGCCATGGGCGTGGAAAGATCGATAATTGGGGGAGGGGTGGGGGGGGCGGGAGCTCATATTCATATATTCATGTTCTGCATCATTTACTTCTTTTGAAATTGATTGTTTTTACGGTCTGCGAACATGAATATATGAATATGAGCCCCCCCCAAAAAAAAAATATCGATCTTCCTACGCCCATGGCCATGCAGGCTGAAATATCAAAATTTAATACGTATCCGAGCAGGCTATAAGTAGTTTATGTTTGGTGTTGTATTCTACTCTACTTAGGGGCTGACCATTTAACCTTTGAGGAGGGGGGTGATTTTGAAAAAACATTTCCTGCAAGGCTATTCTGAAAAAAAAATGTCTGCACTAACAAACTGGGGGGGATATCCTGCCCCAGTATTTGGTGGGGAAAAAATGTTGCAAAACAACATGGTTGCAGGGATCGATTTGACCAGTCCCAGAAGATCAGCTGGTTTGATTTTCGGAGACTAGTGTAAGGTTAATTTCTTGTTGGAAAACTCCTCAAAATGCTGAAAATAGCTTATTTGAGCTTTACGAAATCCAAAATATTCTGGGGGGCATGCCCCCAGAACCCTCTAGAGGCTCGAACCTTCAGTGGTCGACTCGGTTGCCTCAGAATCGTAGTTAATATTGGCCTGATCAGCTGCCCTGTGACGTATACTTATTAGTTAAACCATGCATATATATGCTGGTAGCTGCAGTGATACAGGCTTACCGACTGGAACTTCTCCAGGTCCCCCCGCTAAATATGTCCCCTCCAGTTACACATCTGTAAAGAGGTCCTGAACCAAATCTTATACCTCATTACGGCCGCCGAGAGGGGGGGCAGGAATTTCCCCGGGCCCCCACCTTAATAGGGCCCCAACTTGAGAGCGAGAGCCTATAATTGAGTAGGTCAGACATTCCAACTACTGCAGGTAAAATTTAGGGAGACTGTTCAGTGAATTGAAATCTAGTTCTTCTGGGAAAAAATCATAAAAATTTAAACGTCTTCTGAAATGGCGTTTGCTGCATTTTTGAAGGTGTTGTTATAAGTGATCCTATAAATTGCCATTAAGAAACTTCATAAAAAGGTCAAGACAGACTATTATGTTGCTAAAAACAGTAGGTTTATGATTTCTTTACTATATTTTCTGAATATTCTGAAAAATCTGGAGAATTTTATAAAAATCGGCAGACCAGGAGATTGCATGATTTTTCGGGAGACTCCCGGTAAAATCGGGAGAGTTGGAATGTCTGGTAGGTTCTTTAAATTGGTCAGAGAATTTTTGAAATTGACGGCCCCTTACAGTACCTCCACATGCAGTCTAACTAAGCTCTAGTTGGGTCTAGCTTAAAAATAATTATGTCATGGG